ATGCATGAAGTTTCTCAAAACCCCAAATTGCCGCTAAACACTCCTTCTCTGTCGTGGAGTAGTTCACCTCTGCTGGTTGTAACATATGGCTTATATATGTAATGGGATGACGCTAACCAGGCACACTCAGGCTTTCTTGCATTAGCACACCTCCAAGACCAATATCAGAAGCATCTACATGCAAAATAGAAGGTTGAGTGTAGTCAGGATATGCTAAAACCAGAGGAGTCGTCAAGAGCTCTTTAAGATCCACAAATGCCCACTCACAATCTGAAGACCAGATGAAAGATGACGTTGATGACTTCAGCAACGTTCGCAACGGTGAAGTGTGATCAGAAAGATGATCCACATAATGACTGAGATATTGCACCTTGCCCAGAAAGCACTGCACATCATTCACACACTTCAGAGTAGGGAACTTTAGAATGGCTACAAGTTTGTGAAGATCAACTTGCAAACCTTTACGAGAAATATGGTACCCAAGATAAGTTGTGTTCTTGGACCCAAATATGCACTTCGACCGCTTCAGTTTTAAACCAACGTCCCGTAGCTGATCCAACACTTTACACACATCACGAATGTGCTCCTCCCACGTCCCCTCCGAGTGAATCAAGACATCATCAATGAAGTCAGCAGTCGGCCATCGGTACTTGCCAGTACCCAGAAGCAAGATCGAGCTTGGTGAATTAACGACTTCACCCTAGACGATCCAAAAGATCAGTAGTGTGAGGAAGAGGGTACACATCCGGGATCGTCACTTCATTTAACGAACGATAGTCGATGCAAAAACAAATACTCCCATCAGGCTTCATCATAAGATGAGGTTCACATGCCCAAGGGCTCTGCGACTTCCGAATAACACCCTTCTCCAACATCTCCTTGACGTTTGCATGTAAAATCTTGATCTCCTTGGGTGAGCGATGACGAACAGGAACCTTGATTGGACGAGCATCCCCGGTTAGAATCGGATGACATGTGGCAATCTTGGCCCTAAACGATAAATCAAATTCAAAGAGATTAGAATACTCCTTCATGAGCCGGTCAACAGCTGCAACACAAAGATCATCAGAGGGATTGGAAAAGGGAAGAGCAGAACAAGATGGAAACATAGGAGGAAATAGTGGGGGAATAAAAGTAATGGAAGAAAAATTAGAAGTAGAAGGACGAAGAGGTACGGAAGTGAGAGGAATGGATGAAACATAAGTATGAGATAAGGGGGAGAAGCCTCAAAGTCAAACTTGGCATGATTGCATTGCAACCAATGCATACCAAAAATGAGGTCAAAAGCTTGACTCGGCACCACTTGCAACGACTGGAACTCAAGCTCGAGATCGCTCATACGCACAACCAGGTCCACCTCATCTCGTGCACATGCATGTGTACAGCTGTTGCCATAAAGAATGAAAACTGGATCCGCTGCACGACGCAAGTGTAAACGACAATGTGTGGTAACAGGTCGAGCAATAGAAGATAAACTCGAACCTATATCAACCAACATGGAGAGAATAATAAGAGACCTCTTGTTATAAAAACGAGCTTGGAAAGTAAACACTGGATAAATTGGTGCCAAGTGAACCCCTTGATAATACTCTCGAAAGAAAGATTGAGGGGTCACTAACTTATTTGTGCAAGGTCCCTTTGTTACTTGCATGACTCTTCGTTTCCCGGATGCACCTTGGTGTCCAAACCTTCCACCGTAGCAACACTAATGGGACGTTGCTGACGCCAAGGTCTCCACCTAGGAAGTGGAGGTCGCCAATTTGGAAAGCGCTGACAACGCCAATAAGTATGACCAACTTCATCACACGCTCAGCAACGAACATCATGGCCATGACCATGTCCTTGCCCTTGTCCTTGGACTCGAGTAGTAGCAGCATCAACCTCTATTGGAACAGGACCATCACTCATAGGAAGTGGAGCTGAAGGACGTGCAACGAGAAGTGGAAGAGGCAACGTCTCATAACATTGTGCCAAACGAAGAGTATTGTCAAGGGTGGCAAGAGCAAGTGCATGCATAAGTCTGACAAGATCTTGACGAAGTGCTGGCCACAACATTCCTAGCTCCTGGAAGAACACTCTAATCCCCACAAGTGGCTGCGCTCAATCCATTGTACCACTGCAACGCCATCCCTTGGAGACACGTGGGGAACTCATGCAAACGTCGAGCATCATCCCAAGAATGATATATGGCAATCATCATGAAGTAATCGAACCAATGGTACACATCATCCCCAGGATTCCCACGAAAAAACTCTGGCCGAACGCGAGGATTGGCACCAAGAGTAGGAGGAGTTAGACCGCGGGCTATGAATGCCGCCATCAATTGAGTTTGATTGTTTAATTGCAAACACATAACATCACGCAATTGAACCAACTGCTACTTTAAAGTCAAAGGAGGAGATTGTTGATTTGCCATGAAGATGAATGAAAAAGAAAGAGCAAAAGAAGAGAAATGATAAAAAGCTGGAAGGAATGGTAGGTCTAGACAATGCAAAATGCTAAATCTAAACCAAAATCCTGAAAGGAAAGAACAAAAAGAAAGGAAATGGAAAAAGCTAGATCTAGACGATGCAAAAGCTAGATCTAAACCGAAATTCCAAATCCAAGCACTCCCTAGGGACAATCAAAGGTGCCCCTCACCTCCATGTAAGCAACCAAAGGGAACGACTTGAGAGACGATCCATGGGGTTCAAATATAGAGGGAAAGGGCCCATGAACAAGAGTGCACCCCCTTTTCCAATCGGTTAAGGGTCTTGGGATAGTTGGAGTTAAGCGTCCTTGGGTTTGAATAGTACTGGGCTGGGTGATCTCCCGGGAAGTCCAAACTCAGGAGCTTACATTTGGTATCGGAGCGGTCTCAGGTCCGACTCTGTTGGTTGGCTAAGGGAATCACACCACATGTTGATTGACATCTGGCTGGTCCAGTTTGCTCCCGTTGGGCTCCGACTCTGTTGGTTGGCTAAGGGAATCACACCACATGTTGATTGACATCTGGCTGGTCCAGTTTGCTCCCGTTGGGCTCGACCCGAGGGGTAGGGTGTCAAGAGAGCGGGGCTCTCAGGAGAGCTGCGGCTCTTAGCTTCCGTTCACGAGGGCGTGAACTTGCAGGGAAGCGTGGTGGATTTATAACACATCTCCGCAAGTCCCAAATGACTTACCCAATCGGTCTGGTCTCCCGAGACATAGCATCGCAAATAATCCTCCAGCTGCCTATTCACCCTTTCCGTTTGTCCGTCTGTCAAGAAGTGTTAGTGCCAACAACTTGACTCAATACCCCATACCTGTCTGTGGGTGATAGGCTGTGCTGAATTTCAACTTGGTGCGATACTGTTCCAGGAGAGTCCTCCAGAACCTACTGGTGAAGATCTTATCTCGATCTGAGATGATCTCTTCTAGTCTTCCCCGCACCCGAACCACTTGTTCGAAGAACAGCTTTGCCACACCTTCCGCATCCACCTCCGTTGTGGTGGGTATGAAGTGTGCCATTTTCGAAAATCGGTCCACCACCACAAATATCGCATCAAACCCCTCACTTGGGGGGAGTCCCGTGATGAAGTCCATAGTAAGATATTTCTACGGGCGATCTGGAATTGGGATGCTTTGCAACAAGCCCCCACTAGCCTTAGTCACGGCTTTTACCTGCTGACATGTTGGACATGTCTTTACATAGTCTTGGACGTCCTTAGCCATATCTGGCCAATGGTACTTCCTTTTGAGTAAGCCCATCGTCTTGGGCACTTCACCGTGTCCCGCAAGAGGTCCGTCATGACACTCTTCTAAGGCCACCTTCTTTAGTTCCCCTTTTGGAACATACACCCTCGTTTGCTTGTAATAAATGAGTCCGTTGCGTTCCGCATAGCCCGTTTTCTCTTCCGTTGGCAGCTCACCTCTCTGGTGAGCTTCCCGCGCCTCTAAGGGGGTGCACTCTTGTTCATGGGCCCTTTCCCTCTATATTTGAACCCCACAGATCGTCTCTCAAGTCGTTCCCTTTGGTTGCTTACACTCCACCAATGTGAGTGCATGGAATATGAAAAGGGAATACAGAAATGTGCATATCAATTAGCCCAAAAACTTATATATAGGAGCAAGTGGTCCGGATTGAAATCAATCCGACGGCTACCAAAATCCCACTACGCTAATATTAGTATACGGCATCGTAGCCATACACTTGGCCCTCACACATCTTTATATAATAACTATGTATTATATGTAGTATGTAATATATCACATTTTTTCAATATGGCTACTAAAAAATTATAAATCTCTAACTCCAACTATATGCTTCATTATTAAGAGTTATAACATAAGTTCATACTTTTAAGCTTTCTATTTCAACACTATAAATTAAGATTTTTCTTTAATATTTGATAAATTTTATCAAAAACTTTTTTTATATTATAATTATATTTTGCAAAGAAAGTTAAAGTTATCTTTATGGCTACATAGTAATTTTAAAGTGTATTTTATATATTAAAAATTAAAGATAAATTTAGATAAGCCAATTAGAAATAATTTTTTTATAATTTAAGTGTTTAATGAAATGTAAAACTACAATAAAAATATGAAATATAATAAATTTAATGAAATATAATATTAAAATAATTATAAAATAAAATTTCTTTGTTAAATTTGATAAAATTGATCTAAAGAATAATATTTTAGTTTGAGTAAAAGTGATAACTGATAAAAGAACTTTACTGTATTTTTAACTTTAAGTTCTATATTCAATTTTAAATATAGACATAAATATATAATTGATAAAAATTTAATTTAAGCTATTAGTTTTTGAAAAGTTAAACTTAGAATAAATTTATATATAAAATTATTAAATTTATACCATAAATACATAATATATTATTTTATAAAAAATATGGGTAAACATTCTAAAAGGCTAATATTAGCAATGGTTGTGTTGAAATATAAAAATAAATAAATAAAATTCTTGTTTAAAATCATTTAAGATAGATGACATAAAATGATTTAAGGGGAAAACCATCTAATTAATAAGAATATTCTAGGTAGAATTTAGGATTTTGTGTATTTTTATGTGAACAAATGGAATGGGCGAGTGTCATCCTCAAATTTCCACAAGCCCAAATACTCTAAATCATACAGGAGCACAGAATTAGCTGGTACAGTACATGGTCCTGTAAATTCCACTTTGATCAAGCAAAGCCATTGTTTATTGATAGTTACTCACCACTCCAAAATCTGGGGCACATTCCTGGGTTCTTTCCAAAACCAAGCTCCGGTGGAACACGGACTTTACGCTTGCCTCCTGCGCTTATGCTGTGTAACACACAATCACACAACCTAATATATACCTGGCCGCATTGGTGGGAATTCATCGCCAGAGCCCAAGATTGCTTCATAGATCCCCTTCATCACCTGTATAGAACCATGTATCCTATTTGATCTAGCATAGGAATTTGAATCGAGAACTCACTCCCGCGGAGTTGAGCTGAAACGAGAAAGGCTCGCCCCGATCATAGCTGCTGTCGAAAACAAACCCATCTTCTCTCCTCCCCTGGTAGTGTAACTGCACAAGAGCACAGAACACGATGGCTGTGATTGAATCGAAGCTAGAAGGCAAGCTCCGCTCACCCGAATTACGTTCCCTTTGACTGGTGCTGTGCCTGTGCCCACGACAAGGTCGCAGAAACTCAGCCCTGATTCCATCACCTTCCACTCGCATTCTTGCGCTTGCGGCTGCGGTTGCAGCTCTTCTGCTTGTTGTGTCTCTTGCAATTGTTGCAGCGGCGCCTCTTCCTCCGCCGCTGCCGCCAATCTCACTCCGCCGCTCAGTAGCAACGACGTCAATGCAAACATCGATGCCTCCCGTCGCCCCATCACTAATCTCATGGTCTCGTACTGCTGCTGCTGCTGCTGATGCTGCTGCATTGGTGGATTTGCATTCGCATTTCCCACCGCGACGCTGCTGCTCCGCGCAGGACGAAGCATTTGCAGCAGCGCACTTGGATTGGGTTGAAGTATCGCCATAGCCACAAAAGCGAAAGAAAAATCTTCGCGCGCCCTTACCTAGAAAAACAGGGGATTGAATCCCCCTAGGCAATGGCGACCATTGCTACCGTGCATTTGGCGAGTAGCTTCGTGGCAACCAGAATTGGGTTGCCTCGTCGTCTCAGCAGCAGGGCGTATGCTAGCAGCAGCTCAAGGAACAATCCAAGAGCCATGAGCAAGACGACGATCACAGCAAAGTTGAGCAGGAGAGGAGTGGTGGTACCATTGCTGGCGCTGGTGGCTGCTACCACCGCCGCCGCCACACCAGCTGCAGCTCAAGATCAACAGGGGTACACGACATCCGCGTCGGGGCTCGAGTACTGCGACACAATGGTCGGGACTGGCGAATCAATCGCCAAGGGTGCTCTCATCAAGGTGGGATCATCCAGTAACTTTTAGTATGAAATCTTGAGAGATCTATCTTGAGACAGGTGCACTACACTGGAACGCTGGAAGATGGCACCGTATTTGACAGTAGCTACAAGCGGGGAAAGCCACTGAGCTTCAACGTGGGTGTAGGACAGGTACGTACGTATACGCTCGGAGGTTGGTCTTTTCTTCACGGGTTTTGCCATGACATGTAGGTGATCAGAGGATGGGACGAGGGAATCTTGGGAGGAAGTGATGTGCCACCGATGCTAACAGGTGTTTATCTTGTCCCCGGGATGGATCGACCAGTTTGATAAGTAACTCTTTGTCTATGTGAGCCCAGGAGGGAAGCGCAAGCTTAGAATTCCTCCCAAGCTTGGCTATGGCGAGAGAGGAGCTGGGTGTAGAGGTGAAGCTCTCCAAACTCAATGAGGTTGAATAGCGACTTAAGTTACAAGGTGTTGCAGGTAAATCGTGCGTCATTCCTCCAAACTCGGTGCTCTTGTTTGACGTTGAGCTGGTTGGCAAGGGATACAAGTAAATCTTTCAAGGATTTTGTGCTTGGAAACGTTGAGATCACAGTTTTTCTCCTTCTAAGTAGTACGAAGTGCGTGATAAAATAAGCTCTTCGTTCTTCCTCTTGTCTTGTCTAGGCGTACATATATTCTCTCTTTGAAGAGCTCGAAGCAAAGCAAAGCTTGTTAGAATGTAACCAAGTTGATCATTCATGTTTCTGTGCGTGTCTAGGCCTAGAACAAAATGCTTGCTTCAAACTTTTGGATGATGCGGACGGAGCTCTCCTGTTTAGCTGGCCAGACAGACAGCAGTATAGAATCTGGCTGCGTTCGCGTTAGTCGTGGTTACGTTGCCACTACTCTGACTCTAAGCTCTCCCTTTCCTCGTCGCCATGGCCGTGCTCCTCCTCCTCCTCCTCGTCGCCCTCATCGCCATCGCCATCGCCATTAGCAGCAGCACCTTGCGAAGCGGCAGCAGTAGCAGTAGCAGCAGCAGCAGTATCAGCGGGAGCAGCAGCAGTGTCATCGCTATCGTCACTGTCACTATCGTGGGCGAACATGTCCCATTCCATAAACTGCAAGACCAGCAGCGCTCGTTAGATTCTGCTCGCCAAAGCCTGTCGTGTGTATGAATGAGCAGAGCACAAAACATACCTTGGGTATCCAGGTGCTGATCTTCTTCGCAACATTTGCTTCCAGGGACCTTTCGGCCAGCGTGTAGACGAAACCATCTTCGCTCCGCTCCTTGTGGAAGTGTCTGGAGCCGAGAAAGAATCACACACTAGTCTGAGAAATCTCTCTCACACTTTACCTCTGCCGTTGGAGGAGTTCCATGGTCTGCTTGATGCTCCCAAACACCGGGTGCTTCTCGTCGTCCTCCTCGATTCCCAGCTTCCCCAGGTGAAGCCACAAGTCCTCTGCCGAGAGAAAGAACATGATTCTTTCGAGTAGCAAGCGAAATGGAGAGAACCCACCTTGCTTGCAACTCCTCCCGGGGGAGAGATGAATTATCGAGACGATGGCCAGCGCCAGGCCCCGCAGCGCCACCGCACTTGGAGCGTCCACAAACTCCCGCCGAGCCTCCAGGGGGACGGTGCTCTTGAGGAAATACTCCCGTGCCGGCTCACTACTCACTGCAAGTGCCATAGTGTGAGTGAGAGTGAATGATCGAGGAAGAGGAAAAGGAGAGAGAGAGAGAGAGAGGGCACTCCAAGTTGTGCGCGAGTGGTACACTACACACGGCATTACCTCCTTGGGAACCAGCGCCACCACCTCGGGCACTGTGTTGCCGCGGTAACTTGTGGAGCTCGTGCATCTCCATCCCAAACACGCTCGCGATCTTCTTGCGCACCCTGTCGATCACCACACCCGAAAGCCCCCTTTGCTGCTTGTAGCTCCGGGTGACGATCTGGTTGAGCTCCTCCCGCCTCACAGGAACTCCCGGCTGCTGGAAGTTCCTAAACAACATATGCCGTACAACCTCCGCCACGAGAGCATTCACCTCGTCGGGGCTCATTTGCGCCTGCGCCTGCGCCTCCTCGTCTCGATCCCCTCGCGCCATGATTCTTTCCCTCCTAGGGCTCTTCGCGGAAAACTCACAACTTAGCTAGCTAGCGCTTTCTAGGAGTGTCAAATCCAATCCCTCTCTTGGAGCTTCATGGGGAGATAAACCTCCGAGAGATACTGGAAGCCAAAGCTACTCAGCGCCTGGATCTCGGCCTTCTCCTTGTTCTTCACCATGAGTTCCAGCTCCTGGTACCACCGAGGATCCTTCTTGATGAAATCTTCCTCCAGCAAATCCCGTCCAGTCTTGACATCCAGCTCCGACATGGGCAGCCGGCACTGCTGCGGGATCCGGTACTTGTCCAAGTCCGAGGGCCGGACTCCCAGCCACTTGATATCCGGGGTGGTGAGGCTCGCGCTATCGTAGGACATGTTCTTGGAGCCGCTCATGTAGACCGACAAGATCTTGAGGCCGTAAGGATCGCTGTCCACCAAGCCCAGCACCGGAAGCCTCAGCTCCATCTTCATCTTGCGGAGAAAGAGTCGAGTCGCTACGTCCGGCTGGCCTTTCGCGGTGACGATCACGCACGGGAACCGGTTGTAGAAGCGGTCCTCCGCCAGGCGCATGAAGGCCGCGTCCTTCTCCACCAGGAGGATGAAGAGGGCGTCGCTCTCCATGTCCTGGATCTTGTCGATGTTGGGCGGGATGGCCTTGCCGCCGACGCCCATCTTGGTGCAGTCGATCCGGTCGCCGTCCTCGACGAACACCAGGCGTCCCACCACCACGCCTTTCTCCGACGCTACCACGTTGAGGCTGGTTCTCGTGCAGCCCAGCATGCACGAGACGTCGTCCAGGACGGTGTCCGACTGGGCCTGCTCGGTGAAGAGCTTCACGTCCGTGTAGAAGAGATCGCGCTTGGTAACGTGGATCTGCTTGGAGCAAAGCTGGTGGACGAGCTCCAGGATCCGGGTGGTGATGGCGGTCTTCTTCACGGTGGAGCTGCTCGCGAAGGGGCGAATGGAGGTCTTGTCCTTGAGGACGATCCTGTCAAGCTCCTCGACGTAGAGCTGGTTGGCGCTCGTCCGCGACGGGACCGTGTAAGCCAGGCCCTGGCCCTGGAGGATCGACTTGGTCACGGACAGAACGAGCTTCTCGATCTCCTCCTTCACCTCGCCGCTGCCCAGCTCCGCCACCTCCCTACACGATTCCTCCAGGGCTAGATCGCTCAAGCTCCGCTTCTCACCTCGGATGCCGGCTCTTGCCGTTGCCTCGGCGAAGTCCTTGATGGTCTGCAGGATCGCGCCGTCTGTCTTGAGGCGCTTGGGCAGCTCGCCACCAGCATTGCCGCCATCGCCGCCGCGTCTCGGCGCCATGGAAAAACCCTACCTTGGAAGTGAGAATGTGGGTATAGAGCTTTCAAACAAATGGAAGTTAGAACACCACAGACAAAAAGCTTGAGCGCTCTAGGCAACTTTCTTGCTTGTCCTGGCCAAGCTCTTCTTGCGCTGGCCGATCATGTACGTGTAGAGAAAAGGGACACCTACCCACACAGAGAGGCCACAAAGAATGAGAGTGCGCTCTTTTTCATCGTAAAATACCTGGAACGTAGAGCAAAAGCACGAGCAGGGACGTGTAGTAGTATGAAAACGCGAAGTTGAAGGCGTTGGGCATCTCGATCGAGTACTTCTTCGAGGACTGCGACAACCAAAGGTCATCGATGAGATCAAATCCAGATTTTGCTTCTTCCAAAACTGGATTTTTTACTGACTAACCTTCATGTGAGACAGAGCAAGCATGGTGAGACCAACTTCGCCAGAGATTCCGGTTGGATACAAGACGAAGAAAGTGCTGTACCTGGAGACATCGATCCAAAACAAAATGTTAGAAAAACCAGCCAGTTTGTCAAAGATCTGAGATCTCACTCACCGTAGCCAATGCAGAAAACCGGGTGTCAAGCCAAAAGCCTCCTTTGCAGCGAAAAACGAGTAGCGAATTACCTCTGTTACTGACCAGCTGAGAACGAGAAGCGTCACAAGCCAATGCGACCTCGTCTGTGCAACAAGGAAAAGTAAGAACACCAAAAAAAAGTTCCTTTTTATTTCTCCCCAACTCACGGGAGCTTGTAAGATCTTACTACCTCTGGGAAACTCCAGAGAACACCCCACGTAACGAAGAGGCGTGAAGAGATCTGAGGCAGAGTTGCACTGACGGGCGAGCGCACAATCCCTGCATTCATCATCGTCTCACAAGTCACGAAACAAGGACACAAAATCTTACCAGCGAGGCTGTTGATTATCTACACGGCTCACAAGAATCTGGACGTCAGGAAAACGAAGAAACGAAGAAACGTAGGCTTGGATCTCACCTCGAGGATCGCTGCGGTTTGCGAGAGCTGGAGGGGCAATTCAATGGAGTCATAGACAGCAGAGTAGCCGGCTCCGTTCAAGGCCGCGAGAGCCCGAACAAGCACGGAAGCCCTGCAAGAGCGATCGCACGAAGGAAGCGCAAAGGCATATATCTTACCACCCAGCACAAAGAATGCAGTTGTAGAGCGCCAAGTAGACTCTCCGGATGCTCCAAGCGTCCGCCATAGCCAGAGCTTTTGCTCGGCTTGCCTCTCTTAAATGACCGTTTTCACTCAAGAACCCTAAATCTGGAGCTTCACGTTTTCTTATAAGTTTTCTAGCTGGACACACACGACACCAACCGTAGCGATTGATGCGTAGCTCTCGACAGGAGGCTACCTCTCCTTCTCCCCTGCACGAACAGGGGCAAACAGCCCATGGCTTTGCCGCAGCTCGCGATTTCCTCATCGCCATCGTTGTCTTCCCCTTCGTCTTGGGCATCTTGAAAACCAATCTCCTCGTGCTGGCAATCGCAATCGATTTCTCCCTGAACTTCCTGGATAGCATGAGTTTCCCGGGCCTTGAGCGAGCAAGCTGTGGGCGAGACTCCGGTGAGATCCCGGTCCAGCTGCGTGGAGAGCGCGACCAGCTCGTACGAATCGAAGAGCAAGCTGCCGCAATCCCACTTGAGGAGATAAGGTGCTCGCGGAGTGAAGCTCTGCTTGGGTATGATCATGGGATGATCATCGATGACCGGAGCTTGCTGGCGCCGCCGGGATTCCGCGAGGAAGCGAGACGGCTTGGTGTGCCAAGTCCTCCGCTCCTCGATCGTTTTGGCGGAGAGGACCCTCGCTGCTGCTCCTCCACCGTGCAAATGCCACGCCCAAGCTGCTGCTTTGCACAGGCTCGCGGCCTCGTCCTTGTCCCTCCGCGATTTCATCGCGCGCGATTGATCGATCTAGAGAGCTCTAGCTCGATCTTTAAAATATCTGGCTGGGCAACTGGCGAGCCCGGGATCTGTGATATTTGCGAGCGCTTCTGATATTTTCGGGGAAAAGAGAGATGATCGGCTGGAGAATGACGATCT